ATGGTTGTGGTGATGGTCATTTTCATCGTCATTATCATCATCGTTATCTTGATAATAGTCGTGCTGATGATTATATTTATTATTGTTTTTTGTGTGAATGCAGTGATAATGTTTCTTAATTCCGAGTGGTTAGATGGTTTTTGCTGTTTTGGTATTGGCGTTCGTCTGATTTGTAGGCCTAAGTTATGTTTAAATAAATATAATGACTGAAAGTGTTTTGCTTTTGTTCATTGTGGGTGTTAAAACTAGGGTAGTTATAACTGGAGCTATAACTTTTGAGTTACAACCTATCAACTTTTCGGTCAGAAAGTTAATTTAGTTATAACTATCAATCGCAGTTATAACTATTAACCCAAGTTATAACTATCAACCACAGTTATAACTTTCAACCGCAGTTATAACTTTTCACTGTAGATATAACTAAGTTTCAACATGAGTTATAACTATTAAATGCAGCTAAAATGTAAAACCATCAGTTTGCTAATTTTCTGAGCAGAATTCCTCAGGTTGATATGATGGTTGTTGTTTTTTATCTCATTTCTCGATAAAATATGAGGATTCAAATATTCGCCAGCTTGTTTTTTACTTCTGAAGAATGGAACCTCAAAAGTCTTCTTTGGGTATTTTTTGATTTAATCAATAGTCTGTTGCGCGCTTCTATTTTACTATTTTAGGTGCTGATCTTGAATAAGACTACATAGTCTTTGTCTGACTGTGTCCGGGTCTTTTTCGTATCTATAACAGTTAAAAGAAGTATCTGAAATGACAGTTGCTCCGATGAAGAATATAGCCGTCGAACAAATCTGGTTTCGAAATAAAAGTGAAACTTTTAAACTTCTACAATAGACTAAATTCAGTGAAAATATTCTGCTTACCGGTCAAGAGTACGATTATAATATTAAGTATAAATATGACTGTCAATCGCGGATATAACCATTAACCTAGGTTACGATTATCATCTGTAGTTATAACTACTGACTGCAGTTTTTACTTTTACTATCAGCTGCAGTTGTAAATTTTTTTAATTAGGACCATGCTTACTATAGTCATTACTCAGTTTAATGTTTGAGATTTTGCATGACTTTCAACAAATTGCAACTAGTAGCCATATTCGTACTTATACGTCAGTTGCATTAATCTACACATCAACGTTAGAACATTTGTGGACTCTTCAAATAACATAACAAGTTTCTTTCCTTACTTTTCAATTGTAAAAAATATAATGATGATGCCCTCTATCCTTTCTATGCTCTCTTTCCTTCTTCTTGCCATCTCATTCTCTATATTCTTTTGTTTTCCTTTGTTTAATCAACGTAGCAACCACTAAACACCAGGAAATGTTAATGCTGTTATATATAAATAGAGATGAACAGATGAAAATGAGCAAAAAAGTGCTTCACGATGATTTTATAGAAATAAACCATATCCACTTATACGAACAGAAGGCCTCGCTTTAATTTAATCTAAAAATATTAAACAGTTTTTTACAGATCAAAATTAGAATTAGAACGTTTTGTTTTCTAAGTATTGTTCCTTGCTAACTGTAACTTGATAATCTTTAGTGATCGTATAGCGGAAAGACTTTCGTGAGTTCATTATACATGGATCAAGCAAAAGTTCATTTCTACGAACACAAGAACTTTTGTATTTGGTCTAACGTGTTTATTAGTATCAAAATTGATTATATTGCATTTTAGTCCACAATTGGTGAATATGGAACAAGCATATCGTTCGTCCAATCATACTAATTTACAAATAGCTTTTGATACAGCTCAACCACACTATGGTATTGCCAAATTGATTGATTCCGAAGGTATCCATTTGATTTTTTTTATTATTATATTCATTTAATAATAGTGTCTTTATGTTAATGTTAATTAGATGTTGATAATGACAATCCCGATGAAAAAAGTATTTTCTTGTATATATCTCATTTGTATAAAATTTGTCCATCAATTACTGAACATCCATTTCAATAAAATTATGATCAAGTAAATCATTTTGAATAATGTATCAATTTATGTAGTACATATTCTCTTGTTTATCTATTTAGATTTCTCTTGAAAGTCAGTTATCTTACGAATACACTTGTTTACCATCAGATCTTTTAAAATGGATTAAATTAAAACTTCGCATGTTCAATAGTGAAGTATTAAACCAAAAGACTCTTTACAAATTAAAAGTAAATCTTCAAATCTAAATCAAGATTGTTTACATCGTTCACTTTCTTTGTGTAGGCATTTCAAAATGCTTTTCGGTTGATATGACAAGATGAAATAATCGTATAATTGTATAATAATACAATCGTCTTTTACAAAGAATGGCTGCCATTGATTTTGAACTTCAGGTAAGTTCAATGAGATTTTCTTTTCGTCTTCTCATTTTAAAACGGGCCATGTAGCACGTTCAATCATTTTTTTTTTATGTTTCTAGAATTTACATTTGAATAAACCCCAGCCTGATATTAACTCAATTAGTTTGACATGGAAAAAATTAGAAGATAGTATGGAGTATATCGAGAATGAATTAACAACAATGTTAAATAGGTTTTTTAATCATCAATCGAACTATGATTTATGTTCTCTCTACATATTTCTTCTGTTTAGATACGATCGTTTAAAACCGGAAATTGAGCGTGTACATTTCGTGTTAAATCAAGTAGAACAAGAAATTACCAAGATAGAATCAAATGTATATTTGTCAGATTGATAATATTTTTTGAAAATGAACTCTGTGTTTTGTTGTGTAGTCACCATTATTTTACAATGTTGATAGTACAGTGAGTAACAGGTCAATTAATAACAAATTTAACAGATATACAAAAACGAATTGATAATGCGTTGAATAGTTGTCGATCATTATGTACAATTACACAACCAAATAATCCACATCCTGATGTTATTCAATTGATAGACAGGTATATAACAGTCATTTGAGATCATGATGAAAAACTATCCGAACAATACAGTTGGTCAAAATCATTTCGCTTTTTTTTATTCCAATATCATTTCTTTTTCCTCATACGGCTGATGCTACTTAATTTTCAATTTTTTTTATTTCATTCTTTCTAGGCTTGAATTTCTCAATCGGCGCGTAAACGACTTGAATATTCATCTAGGTCATTTAAATTCTGATAATATTCGACATACTACAAAACAACAACGTCTCAGTGGTCCTTCACCGTCTCATAAATTATCTTCTCCAACAACAGCAGCAACAACGAGAATTGTAGATTCACCTATCGTTGTTCAAAACAAAAATAATGTTGATCTTGTCGAATATCTAAATAGCTGTCTGAATTTGGTTAAACAAAAACAGGTTTGTTATATATGACAAAAATGTCAACTCGAATTATTCTACTACTAGTTACTATTGTCTTCTAGAATACAACAGATCGATTTGATTTGGGATCTGATTTACCAAGTACAATAACAGATATTGAACAGTGTGGAAAACTCTCAAATGTGTCTGGCATCGTTTTATGTCTTATTCAAATGATTTATTAAAATGGATAAGTAATGCCGAATCAAATGAAATTGATCGTGAATGGACAGATATAACGGATCGAACATTAATTAACCAATATATACAACAAAAAAAGTATACGACTAATTCTGTCATGTCACCTTGTCTAATGTGCTCTGTCTTCTAGAATCTTAAAATATCCTTAGAAGATCGTCTTAAAGATTGCGAAAGACTTGAATATTTTACGCATAGTATTAATCGAGAAAAGCATATCGAAATTGAATCAATTGTACAGGCATTTAACAGAATTTTGGTCAGTGGCCTGCACATGATAGTAAAATACGGATTTTGCAAGGGTTACACAGCAATGCATTAGAAAAAGCAAGGATCGGCCAGTGAACTAAATGAAAAGATTTAAGTGTCAAAAATACAAACTAAATTTTAGAGGAAAAGGTCCGATTTGGATTTCTGTCAATTTGTCTTGAAAGTGCATTTCGTCGCCCTTGATCTGTTTTTATTCAGCCGTTTGTACCATTCCTGGCACCATATGTTTACTATTGCGGCATGTATCTACTGTACGGAATCCAGAATTCCTCTGGTGAAATTTTCTATTTATTGAATTCAGTTCTAAAAATAATAGTTTTATCCTGCTACGCACAGTGGGCATCCAGGCGGACATTAGGCAAAAAATCGAAGTAACTCTTTTCTCAAATATAAATAGTGTAAAATGTAGCTGTTCAAATTCTCTATCGAATGGTGTATAAATGTCTATTTTGAAAA